TACTCACCTTTTAATAACAAGCATGACATAGGAAGCCATTTTTTAATTCAAGAATCAATCGGTCTTGTCTACCCTCAATAGCAGAATATGTAAATATATTAAGATTTCTTCAGGAGATGATTAAGGGTCAAAGGAAGGAGAAAGTGCTCTCATACTCAGAATCATCAGAAAAGACAAAGTACTCTTACAGCGGAAGAGAGATGGCTGCTGATGGAGGGTGCAGGGTTATCACAGAGAGGACGGGGCACACCATCTCCAGTTCCAAGACCGGCTTCTTGTGTTATAACTTCATGTTCTCAGAGGTGAAGGGCCCCCTTTGTGTATAGTAAACTTGTTTTCAAACCTTACATCAGTAACAGAAGAACCTATATTAATCCAGGTAGAGGTCAAGATGGCTGTATCTTCAGTTGTATGATAAATGGTTCACATGACAGTGTGGCATCTAAAAATGATAGCTGTTTTTTATAGCATCTCTGCTACTAAACTGTCAACTTGAATTTTGAAAAAAGTCGGTGTTGATATGTATATGTATGTGTGTATATGTGTATTTATAAACAAGTGTGTGTGTGTGTAACATTGTCTTCCCCTGCGCATGTGCGTTCCACACAGAAACGGCTGTGTTAGAGTCACAAAACAATCTGCAATAAAACAAGGCATTTGTTGTCAGTTCAAACCAGATATGGTTACGTTGTTAAATTCATCTGGTGTGGTGAGTAACATGGTCATTTTTTTCATTGCTGTATTAATTTAGGCTTTTTTTCAGATAAGGTCTTAATTTGTGTCTAAATTGGGGTTAGAGTAGGAATCACTAAAATTGTGGGTATTTCTGTTAACATTACAATAGGAAACATTTTTATTATTTCAACTATCTGAGGTAAAATGAATAGTTTTCCTCATTCTTGGATTTTTTAAAACTTGTTAGTGGTTTTAGGAATCTGATCAGTTTTTAGTTTTTGTGTCTGATGCTGAATTAAGAACTTACAAACAATCAATCCAGTTGAAAACCCAGCCCTCTACATTCTTCAGCCCAGTTGTGGAGGGGTCGCTTTCCTTCCATGTCCTGCACCGCACCAACCTAAGGGGAGAATGGATAACAGGGAGAAATATATGTCCTGTGTCTTTGGCCATGTCCCCATGGGAGAATGAACCATTAGTTGTCGGTGTATTTTAGTTCCTTCCATATAGTAAAGAGACCATTTCTTCGGTTGTTGACTTCCTAAAACATTACATATGGTTAAGATCAGTCAGAGACTTTCACAACCCTTAATACTTCTAGTCATGTACTACTTTATCTGACATTTACAAGAAAATCACATGCCCACTCTGTCTGTTTTTGTTTTTCCTTAGCTCACCCTCACTCTACAGCTCTGCCAACCTTGATAGGCTGTGGACAAATATTGTTCTCGGCATCTTTCTGCAAGATGCTGGAAATCCCCCCCCTTCCTTTTTCTTTCTGGCATGCACACATGTGCTCTGTGCAGTACCGTGTGTGTGCTTCTGTTCATCTGTAAGCACACATCATCGATAAAAGTAGGTTCAACTAGCAGGGTGGAGGTGGCTTTTACTATGTGGGCATTACTGGACATATTTTTTAAGATGAAACTTAACCTATCACACTTGGTTGACCAATTCATTGTGAGTATTAAAGCTTTTCCATTGTTAGTTTAGATACTCAACTACATTACTGACTTAATAATCACCTAGTCTTGAAAAATGTGGGGAGTGTTTTGGCCAATTTTCCTTTGAGGACAAGTGTGTGAAACTGAATGAAAATATGCCCCAATTGCAAATGGATAAATGTAGAAAGAACCTAGTTTTTAAAGCAATTTGAATTTTAAATACATAGAACTTTCAGGATCTTCAGGACTCTTAAAAGCACATTTGAATTTATTTTGGTAAGAACTTTGTTTTATGGACACACATTGCATTCTGTTTGGTTTGTTTTTGTTTGTTTGTTTGTTTTTAATTAAACACAAAGTGTAGATTTCAAAGAGGGAGGGAGAATAGCTGGTGGTCCCAGAGTGTGCTGCTGTTGTTTTATTAACAAAGGGGAAATGTATATAAATAGATAAAAGTTACCATAAATTCCATGAACTTAAATCTGTGATTCATTGCCTTAAAACTTTCTCTCTTAGAATTTCCATACCGCATGCCAAACCAGTAAAATGGCTTTTAAAACTGTATAGTAAACCAATGTCAGTTTGTATAAAAGTACCAAGTGAAAATATTTATTACATGCATTGGAGAAAAGTTGTTTCCCTATTGAATGTTACCTGTTTATGTAGAGCTCTTTAGATGTAATAAAAGAAAAGCCTTCAGTTAATTTGTGTTCTGTAAAATACTACTATTACGTCTTTAGGGGAACAATCCCCATAAGAAAAATGCTGTTGCAGCGTTCTCCCAGGGCCCCTGTTAAGCCAGAGGTTTCAAAGCATGACAAGTAACTGATACCTCCACATCATGCTTTGAAGTCATTTCTTAATGGAATATAGCTAGCTCTGTAATGAACCACAGTACCTTAATTTTTTTTTTAAGATTTATTTATCATGTATATACTTCTACCTGCATGTCAGAAGAGGGCACCAAATCTCATATCATTATAGATGGTTGTGAGCCCCGTGTGGTTGCTGGGAGTTGGACTCAGGACCTCTGGAAGAGCAGTTAGTGCTCTTAACCTCTGAGCCATCTCTCCAGACCCCTTAAAGATACTTGTTGTCTATCTGCCCTCTAAACACCTGGGCCCTCCACTCTTTATGGTGAGCAACCTAGCTGCTACGTGACCCTGTTGGAGTTTGAGGGATACACAAGTGGGGACCCTGAAGCAACAGCCTTCCCTCATGTGGCTGTGTAAATTGGACTTCAGGAGTTTTAGCTCACTGTGCCAGCATGTCTAGACAGTGAGTGGAGACGAGCTGCCCAGGTTATGTAGACCACCCATTAGCCATGTGTTCTTTGCAAGCTGGACTGGAGAATCCACCCAGCCAAATGAGATTCAGGAAGCATGCTTTAAAACTAAACAAGAGGGCGGGACACAGTGGTGCACACCTTTAATCCCAACACTTGGGAGGCAGAGGCAGGCAGATCTCTGTGGGTTTGAGTCTAGCCTGGGCTACACAGAGAGACCCTGTCTACATTGAAACACTGTCTCAAAAAAAGCCAAGGGTCAGGGCTACACTGGCAGGCTGGAGGTGTTTGGCAGAGTGCTTGCCTGGCATGCTCAAGGGACTGAACTTAATCCCCAGCCGCAAATAAAAGAGGCATAGTAGTGTATACCTGTGACCTCAGCACTCAGGAGCTGAAGGCAGAGGGATCAGAAGTTCAAGGGCATCCTCTACAAATTTGAGATACCCTGTCTTTAAAAAAAAAAAAAAAAAAGAAAAGAAAAGAAAAGGAAGTCAACAGACATCAGAACCCAGTGGGGAAATACCTCTTCTATAAGCATCCAGACTTTTCCTCACCCTGTCCCACATACAACATTAACAACAGAGCACCTGTCAGGTATTTGGTTTTATAGACTGGTGAGCAGAGGTGTTGGGTCTGGAAATTTCCCATCTGCCAGGGAAATACAGCCTTCTCTTTGGAGGTGTAGCTCCCCCAGGAGGATTTGCCATGGGAGTCATGAAGAATTTTACCATGTGTTGCTCTTGCTTTCTCTGCCATGTTTCAGGTTCCCTAGAACATCCCAGAATTCTTCACTTTTCATCTTTGAGTTTCCTAGACAGACTTTTGCTTTGATATTATGTTGGCCACAAACCAAAACCCTCTTTGAAGGGGTGTGCCACTATTATCCAGCCTATTTTTTGTATTAAAGAAATCTGCCAGGTTGTCTATAATGAAGCTACTCAGAGAACACATAGTGTCTACTCTCAGGAAAATGAGGCCATCCTTTCTCAGTTCTTCTGTTTGGTTAGTCTGAGCCATAATAGCATATGTGAGGTAGCTGAATTAAGACTACTACTGTTTGGTCCCCTGGAGTATTCCCAGAGCTTAGCCCTTAGTAAATGATGTGTATCTGATCAAACTTCCCAAGAGACACTGTAACTGTATCCTGATACGTCTCTCTGCCTTCGCTAAGGAACAAAGCCACAGCCAGTCCTGACACAAAAGAATGAAAGTCTTCATGTTCACAGGTCTGCACCCAATCTATGCTTGTGTGTCACATGGGGACCTCTGGGTGAGGGCCTCTCAGATTCTGGACATGGCCTGGGATATCCCCTTAGAGTTCTGTTAGTCATGATCCCCCCTGTCACTTGAGCAGACCATCCTAGTTCCTGGAACCTAACAGTGGCCCAGCTTCAGCAAATTCTTCCAAGGAGTATGACTCCTGCCTAACTCTGCAAGGCCTCCGAAGGGACCAGACTTCCCGCTTCCTTTGGTGTGGAATGTAAAGTTGGACCACTTCCCACTACTGAACTGATCCTATACTTACCACTCTAATGTGTGTTTCCACTTTATACCTCTTTATGAAAGAGCTCCCTGCACTTCGTGTAGCTGGTCATATGGAAATGAGGGTTTATCAGTGGGATTATAGAACTGTAAGAAATTGTGTGCCTTTGTGCTTGTTGCTCAGTGTCCGTGTGCACACTGCTTTTCGCTCTGTGTGTGTCTATCTGTGCTCATTGCTCTCTGTCCATGCATGTACACACACTCTGCTTATTGCTGGTTTCTAGCCAGCCCTAGTTATATCTTAGAAATGCTGAAGGTGGTTCTTGTATCCAAAAGCAGGCTGATCTTCTGGCAGACTGTTCTTTTGGAAAAATGCTACCATGGAAATGCCAATTCCACATGTTCCCAAATTGCCAACCATTTTCCAGTCATGGTCTTTATCCTTGTGAGAGCCAAAGGCTTTGAGAAGGACAAGGGTGTGCCCAAAGTGAGGGTAATGAAGTTGCAGAGCCAGCGCTGGTACACAAGCCTGACTACAAATTACAGGCCCTTCCATGCTGCAAAGGCTAGACTAATTAATATTAGTACTAATGCAGACCTCTTATTACAGCATGTAATACCATGGCTACATCTTTTATTGGTACTTATCCCCTGAAAACATTATGCCGTCTGGTCTTACTGATGGGTTTGCCATCTCTAGATGAATCAGTTTAGGTTTTCAGACCCTGGAGCTCTCATACTCTGCTCCCTGGATCTCAGCTCCCTCAGTAGTCTTGCACAGGAAGGGTGATCCTTTGGATAAAAGTGTCATATTTCACTTGGCCATTTGGTTCGATGCCTGCTTCCTTGAAAAGATCATCCACTGCAATAAATCACATTGATGTTTCAATTTAGATTAGCTGAGGTTAGGGATTCCCAGAAATCTTCCCTGAGAAACTGATGGACTGTTTCCATTGACTGGGACACAAAACCAAATCAGAAGGAAAACCTGTTTCCAAGGCCCCAGAGAACACAGGTCTAACTTTCCCCTTTCTACAGGGACCAGCATATGAGCAGAGTATGCTACTAAGGATTCAGTCAATGGGGCTGCCTTGTACTTGATTTTAATTCTTTAACATCTATTTATTTATGGGGGGGGGGAGAGGGTATTGTCCGTGCCACTTGTGTGGAAGTTAGGGAACATCTTGTGGGAGTCAGCTCTCCTACCATGTAGGCTCCAGAGATCAGGTCAACAGGCTTGGCAGCCAGCACAGAACTCTTTTAAAGAAACATTTGACCTCTGTGTCTTTCAAGAAGCTTTTAGCATGAACGTTTTACCTTACAGCCCACCCTTGCAACCTTCCAGTCCCTCAGGCATCATCCACAGCTCTAAACACAGACACACTGATCCAGGCTCAATATTTCACCTCTCCTTCTCCAGATAAGCCCACCTCTCCCCTTGCTGCCCCCCCCCCCCGTCAACAGAACACTGAGTGACAAGTGTTCTGTTACCATTGCCTCACTACAAAAGGGCGGGTGACAAGAGCACATGGCTTACATGTACCCTGAGTTTGAGTTGGATCCCTAGTGTTAATTTGAAAAACTGTATCTTGTCAATGTACATGCAAGAAAGCCCAACTGCATCTGAATTTCAAATCATCAAACTGCATTGTTCAGGGGCTGAAAAGGTGGCTCAGCAGTTAATTAAGAACACATACTGCTCTTGAGAGGACCATAATTCCATTCCCAGTAGACATGTAGGTGGCTCACAACTGCCTGTAACTCCAGTCCCAGAGGATCTGATGCCCTCTTCTGCTCTCCTCGGGTAACTACACATGTGGCATACCCTCACACTGGCACATACACATTTTTTTTTTTTTTCATTTTATTTAACCTATGCCCACATGGATTCTCTGAAATTCTACCAGGTTTTTTGTTTTGAGAGAGTATCACTTCCTAGAACTTACTATGTAGACTAGGCTAACAGGCTGGAACTCAACAGAGATCAGCCTGCCTCTGCCTCAAGTGCTCAGATTAAAGGCCTGTGCCACCATGCCTGCATGCTTGCAAAAACAAAAACAAAAAACAACAACAAAAAAAGATCTTTTTGAAAATGGCATTGCTTTTTAAAAGATACTAATTTAGCCCAATATCATGATGTACACCTATAATCACAAAACTAGAGACAGAGACAAGTGGACCTCTGAGTTTAAGGCTAGTCTGATTGATTGAGATAGATACAGATATAGATATAGATATATATCCTGTCAGATAGATAGATAGGTACATACATACATAGATGATGGATGGATGGATGGATACATATATAGGTAGATGATAGATAGAATGTAGTTCTCTTTTTTCAACCCATAGGTGCTCTGAGCCTAAGGAGACAGATGCGTCTTATTTCCTGGAAAAACGTATAACCTCCAGCCAGTTGATTGCCAGCTGCAGGGGATAGGCCAAGGATCAGTTCCAGCATCAGTGACAGACCAGAAGATGGCAGCACTCCATAGCCGGGTGATAGCTGGTGAGGGTGCTACATATACCAAGAATGCTTCCGGATAGAACAGAACATTTCTTCCGAATCCCCAGAAGAAATTGTTCTTGTTTGTGATATTTTGTGTTCCACTGCAGCCAGGAGGGAGATGAGTCTCCATCAGCTACTTCCCAGTGTGTTGTGCTCATTAACACATGAGGGAGGTCTAGGGGCTTGACTGTCACTGTAGACAGACAGATCACTAACCATCTCAGAGGGCACTCCACCAGCAGTGTCCTGGGAGTCTGAGGTAAGAGCAGGCCAGTTTTCCCCCTTCACAGTTATAGTAAAAGCTGCCAGCTGAGAGAAATTGAGAGATGAATCTACCTACCAGGCACCATTTCTAAAGCCTTTGCTCAGGACCTTTGTGGGTGCAGAGAAAATCTGAGCAGGCTGGTCCATAGGTTATTAGCTCTTGGAGGACCCCAGGGATAACTCTCACAACCTCATTTACAGCAAGCAGAAGAATCACATTCCATAGCTCCCTGAAGGAAGGGCCCAGATTCAAACTCATTCAGTCACTGGTTAGTTGCAATCTGGCCCAAAAGTTAATGGGTATTGAGGCCTTTTCAAGCCCTCAAGCTAGCCAGCCAATCTGAAAAACCTGGCTTTGGGGCTGGCGGCACTAGGGCTACCAACAGTGCTATCAGGCTGGAAAGATACTGCAAATAGCCCAAACATGTACCTAGAGCTGTCTCAGAATTCCCAAGCCCTCATCCTGCTGTGAAGCAAGAAATGTAGCAGACAAGACATCTCATGGTTTGTGGCCAGGGAAGGTTTCTAGTTTTTCCCTGAAAAGCTCCCATACCCCACCAGCTCCTAGGGCTGCTGGGGGCAGGAGCACAATGGCATCTCAGTTTGGAAGCACCATCACTGGCCATATCAGAGCGAGCTATTGTGAGAAGATGGCCCTGGGAATGAGGGGCAACTGGACCCTGCACTCTGCTCCAGCTGTGCTCAAGAGCCATTCACTCAGCTGGCCCTTTCTATCAATTGAAGGGCCACTCGTGTTGCCAGTATATCCTGTCATAGCTCTTAGTGTGTGTGGCTCGTGTGCACATGTGTATGCCTGTTCATTTGTGTGGAGGCACATGTGCAGGTGCACCAGCACACATATGGGAGCCTGACCTTCATATCTGGTATCTCCTTCTATGGCTCTCCACCTTTGTTTGAGACAGACTCTCTCTGAACCTGGAGCCTACGGTCCAGACTAGTCTAACTAGCCAGCTTGTCCTGGCATCCTGTCTCTGCCTCCTGAGTGAGTGCTAGAATTACAGTCTAGGATCCAAACTCAGGTCCTTATACTTGTGGAGAAAATTACTCATGGAGCTATCTCCATAGCTCCTGTCAATGGCCTTCTGACATTATGGCACAGTATCACCTACAAAGTTGGCATTTGATAACCATACAATAAAGTTCTTTAAAAAAAAAAAAAAAGAATGTTTATAAGCTCAGGATTTTGTGTGGTCATCCTGGATCACATCAAAACCCTCAATGAGAGCTTTGACAAGGTGAGTCCCAGCAGATGCCCCAGCTGCTCACATGAAACCACTGTTCCTAGGAACCCAACTGAACTGTCTCTGAGCTGACCCTCTACCCTGGTCCACTTCTGCCTATCCCCTCTGGTTCTGCCTTGAGCCCTCAGCCATCTTGACTTGTGCTTACATTCTTCTGGGCCATTCATCAGTTGGCCATCTGCACAGCCTTGGGTGATGTACACAGCATTGCCCTCCCCACAATTCCCTACCCTTCCCCAGATGGTTCAGAATTGACCAGGCTGTTACCTTCCTTGTGAGTGAGCTTCTCTCCCAGTTTCATGAGTTTTGACCGCAACTCAGATGCCATGATGTAACCTTTCTTCTCCTTGTCTGCCATCAGCATTGCCAGAAGGATTTCTTTCTTTGGGTCCTCTTGTTTGATTTGGTTGTGCATAATGGTCAGGAAGGTGGAGAAATCCAGCTCTCCGTGCTTGTCTGGGAAACCCCAAACAGCACAGTGAGCTGGGGGAAACAGCTCTTGGGGAAACCCATTGACCTGCCTGATTGTCATACCCAGCCCCAAGGCTACTGAGTTCTCAAGGCACTGGTCATGCTAAGGGGAACAATGTTCTCCTGATCTACTGTGGGCCATTCACAGGATGGAAAGTCTCCATTTCATCCTCCCAACAATCTCCAGTAACAATGTGTGATAGTGTTAACTATTGACTTGACAGACCATAGAACCTTGATGAAAAGCTTGTGGGCATACCTATGAGGGATCATCCTGGTTATGTTAATTGATGAGAAAGACAAGTCCATTTATGGGTGGCACCAATCCCTAGGATAGGGGATCCCCAACTGTATCAGTGGAGAAGTGGGCTGAGTCCTAGTATACATGGGTTCATTGCTGCCTTTTTCTGACTGTGTGATCAGGTGCTTCAAGCCATGGTGGATGTAGCTTGATACATGAGCTAAAATAGACCCTTCCATCCTTAGGTTGCTTTGGTTGGGGTATTTTATAGTAATAGGAAAAAAAACTAAGACACTATGATTATTAACCCCCCCTCCCCAAGTCTTGCCTGCTAAGGTGACAGCAGAAACCCAGAGTATTGAATCATGACATAGGACCAGATGGAACTATATAATAGTATTGGGACTGCCAACCTGCAAATAATGACACGGAGACTTATTATTAATTATTGAAGTTTGGCCTTAGCTTAGGCTTTTTTCCTAACTAGCTCTTATAATTTAATTAACATCTTTCTATTAATCTACATCCTACCATGTGGCTCAGTTACTTTTCCTCTGTCCCATGCCTGACTTGTTCTGCATTCTGTTGGCATCTCCTACACACCAAGATTCATCCCTCTGACTTCCTGTCTCTCTCTGCCCAGAAGCCCCTCCTAGCTATTGCTGTTCAGCTTTTTATTACACCAATCACAGCAATGCATCTTCACACAGTATACAAGTTTCTCACAACAAAGCTGTCTCCTTTGCTCTCTCCCATGTTCCAAAATGGAGCAAACCTGGTCCTGGTCAGTGTGTCCATCCTCTTAGCTACCAAAGATCCATGGGTCTCAAGCCCTGGTCTGCCTCACCATTCCATCTACCTTTCCATCACCTTCAGTCTCCACCTGCTTGAGCATGTCAAGGGACCTTAGCCCTCATCCACCCTGCCACAACAAACTGCAATCCCTGACTGCTCCTTCCTTTCTAAAGGAAAGATAAACCAAAGTTGCCCCCACCCCTTCAGAGCTTGAAATGGAGAGCTCAGGTTTCAGCCTACTAGGCTGTGGCCATGAGCTCAGCCTGCAGCAGGAGATACTCTCACAGTGACCCTAGCAGATCCTGAGAACCCATCTAAGAAATAAGGATGCTGAGGTCCAGGTGCTGAGGGGTGGCTCCAGGTCAAGTGCTCTCTTTCCAAGTTACCCTTTTCTCTGGGATAGTCCCTCCTTCCTGAGTATCCAGTTCCCAGTGCAGACACCCTGGTGTTAGAGATGGAAGCAGGAGGATCAGGAGTTCAGTATCATCCTGAGCAACACAATGTGAGTTCAAGACCAGCTTGGGCTACATGAGACTTTAGCTCAAAAGCAAAGGGGGGAAAGCCACTGAGACCAATGAGTGTGCTCTCCTAGGGGCTGTGACAGACTTGTAGGACATCAGACCAGGGTGCCCCATGGAATGAAACACTGTATACATGTCCAGCTACCTCTACAGTTCCATCCTGGTGAGACAACACTGCCACCAGGACTTCAGGGTTCTGACCTTTCACCACCACCATCTGCTTTTCCCAGCTGGGCCCTTCACAATCCCACCTGGACAGCCCACTCACCTATCCCATGAGTCTGCAGGTGCCTCTGTACTTCTCCAGGCGTGGGGCTGGCGCCCAGGCACCTCATGGACACCAGAAGATCCGTGGCCTTAATCTTCCCTCTTTGCTGCTTGTCATACAGGGAGAAGCATTCTTTGTACTCTGTACAGGGTGGGAAAGGCTGGCAGTAGCATGTGGTCACTCCACCACCCATGACCCTCTCCAACACCGAGCCCCAGCCCCTCCTCCCTGTTCCCTTCCCCCCTTCTTTTGCCCCACCAGATTTCTAGAACCCCATAATAATGGAGTGTGATGGCACATGCCTATCATCCCAGCACTTGGGAGGTGAAGGCAGAAGGATCAGGAATCCAAGGTTATCCTCCACTGTGTCTAGTTAAGAGGTTAGTTGAGGCTATATGAGACCCTGCCTCAAAAACAAAACAAAAAGGGCCATCAAGGTGGCCCGATGACCTAAATTTGATCCCCAGAACCTTCGTGATATAAGGAGAGAAGCAACTCCTGCCAGTTGTCTTCTGACATCCACAGTACATATTCACTCACACACACATATATAAATAAATGTAATGAAAATATAAAACTACCAAGTTAAGTAGAATGCAGAGAAATATGAATTGCTGAAGATATTATTTGTATTGTTTTTACTTATTTGTATGTATGTGACTCTATGAGTGAATGTCACATGTGTGTAGGTGCTGAAAAGGCCAAAAGGTTGGGTGCCCTGGAGCTGGAATTACAGGTGGTTGTAAGCCTCCCCACTTAGGTACTGGGAACTTGACTCAGGTCCTCTGGAAGAACCGTCTCTCCAGCCCCCGCCGAATTCATTTTTAGTATAAGCGCATACCAAGCATGGATCAAACTTTACAGGGGCTATACTAGACTCAAAAAGTGTATCTGAAATCCGAACTTCACAGGGTATTCTGTGGTTGATCTGACCAGGATGTCCCCTCCTTTCCTCAAAAGTTGTCTCCGGGGCTACTCAGGAAGAAAAGAGCTGGGTAGGGCTGCCAGACTCTCAGGGTCCTTTGTAAAACTGATGTGACTGTCCTGCCTCCAGAAGCAAGTGATGAACAGTGGTTCCTTGATGCTCTCCTAGGCAGGGTTTATTACAGCTGTTAATGACCCTTCATATCACATGCCCAGCCCCAGGCCCTGGCTCCTGACTCTCAAGTTCTCCTCTGCCTGGTCTTGATCCCTACATGGAACAGCTAGGAAGGGTGCCCAGGCCATCAGCAGTGCTGGCCCACAGCTCTCCCTGGGCAGGAACCTCCTCCTGCAGCAGTCGCACAGCTGCTAAGAAGCCCCTGGAGGCAAAGTCAAGCCTCCTGGGAGCTTGGGAAAGATCCCAGCTCTGCAAATGGAGATTCTGTGGGGGTGAGCTGCCCTAATCCCCTAATCCCTTCTATTCTCCAAAGAAAGCAGCTGAAACCTGTAAGAGGGGCCCAGGATTTGCCGGCTGCCCAGATGGGCACACTGCATTCCCTCATGTTGGTAACAGAGGCCAGCCTCTGAACAAACCATTTTCTCTTCCAGCCTCAACAAATCCACCTTTCATTTCTTAAATGTTTTAATGCATTTTATTCATTTTTATGTTTTTAGTGTGTGGGGGGTCAGAGGGTATCTTGTTGGTTCCCTTCTTTTACCCTGTGGGGTAGGGTGGGGGGATGGAATTCATTTTCAGACTTGGTAGTAAGTGCCTTTATCCACTGGACCATCTCACCAGACTCAGTCCATCTCTCCAAACCTGCACAGCCAGATTCCCTGGAGCTGGTGGTGTGAGCCACCCAGTGTAGACACTGGGACCCTAACTCAGATGCTCTTAACCACCGAGCCATCCCTCCAGCTCCCCACCCCACCACCTCTCTTCTAGGCCAAACTCTGGTCCTTTACATCTCTGGGACCCCTGCCTGGGTAACCAGAAGCTACTTCTGGGGTCTGCTGGACACTGTCCCTCATCATAGGGCTTTGTGGGTCCTAGATACCTGCAGTCTTATCACCCTATGCTAGAACAAGATAGGAGATACCAGGAACACCAGGGAGCCCCTGGCTCCCCTGAGGGCTCTGCTCCTCCAGTCCCCTACACACACACACACACACACACACACACACACACACACACACACTCACACTGCCACACAAATCTCCATCCTCTTAATCTAGCCACCCACCATTTACTGCTTTCCATTTTGTCTTTCACTCTTATTGATTGTGACCCCAAGAATGGGGGTTTTATCTTCCAGTTTACTGCTGGATTTTTAACACCTGGGGCAGGGTTGGCACAGAGAAAGGTAAATTCATCAGGTCAGAAATCCCTAGAGTTATGCAAACACTCCAAATAAAAAGACCTTCTCCAGACCTGGTCCCCTCCTACCCAAGGGAAAATGGTTAACAGCTGTGCCAACACATTCATATGTTTACCATGCACCTTACAGGTATTAAGGATTGCAGTGCACAACTCACACATAATAAAATATGCAATGCTCTCCATTACAAATTCTGTCCAGCTTGGAGATGGCAACACACACCTTTAATCCCAGCACTTGGGAGGCAGAGTCAGGCAGATCTGAGTTTGAGGCCAGCCTGATCTATACAGAGCAAACGTTCCAGAACAGCCAAGACTACCCAGAGAAACCCTGTCTCTAAAAACAAAAATAAATAAATAAGTAGAATAAATTCTATCTAGCCAACTCAACATTACAAGTGAGTTTTGACCACTCTTGTATCCATAGTTAACCCAAAGCTTCTATTTAACAAAATAATGCAACCCTTTTTCCAGTGAATTGAGATTGTAATTCCAATAATTCCAGTAAGTGACCCTCCAGTCAACTGTTTCTTATGGTATAAATTACATTCACTAAAACAAAACCTCGTGTTTTCTTGAGTCTCGTGTAACCCAGGTTAGTCTTGAACTTCTGATCCTCCTGCCTCAACCTCCTGGATGCTGACATTGCAAGGAAACACCATCATATCCAGATTATGTTAGGGACGGAACCCAGGCCCTCATGCATGCTAAGAAAGCTCTCTACCAACTGAGATACATTCCCAGCCCCTAAACTGAAACTTTTTTCTTAGCTTTTCACACAGACTGAACAGTTTGCACCTTCCCTGTTAATAATACCTGATTTTAATACCTGCTTATAAAATTCCCACTTCTCACGCCCAGTGCCCAGCTGTGATGCTATTCTCTCCTCTGTCCCTAGCTCACAGCAGCTCCATAAGGTGGCATCATTGGCTCCAAGGTGAATGATCAGGCAGCAGACTCCAAAGGCCCCTTTCCTATTCAGGCTTCCCAATCGCTTAACATTAATGGCCTCCTTGGTATCAGACACTAGGACACAAAGAGAATCTGCGTTCTTCCTTTCTAGTAGTTTCAAAAGCCATAGAAGAGAGGGACAGTGAGCCTGTCATCCAGGGATGGTGGAAGGACGTCTCTTCTGTGTGTGTGTGTGTGTGTGTGTGTGTGTGTGTGTGTGTGTGTGTGTGTATGGAGGCCAGACTTGTCAGATGCCATAGGAGTGGGAGTTACAGGTGGTTGTGAGCAGTCCTTATATATGTGCTGAGAACCAAACTTGAGTCCTCCGTAAGAGCAGTATAAATTCTTAAATGCTGAGTCATCTTGCCAGCCCCTAGCCCAGAAATGTAGGCTAGGCCCAGAGCTTTAGAGTCCCCTCATCTGTCCCCTCCTGCCTTGGCCTTAGTTTGGGGGATGGGGAGTTAAGGATTCTAGGAGAAGGTACCTACTTGGACCTATTAGGTCACATCCCTGCCACCCCCCTCTTCTACACCAAGCTCATTTACATCTCTGGGACCCTTGCTGGAGTAAGCAGAAACCACTCTTGTGGCCTGCTGGACACTGTTCTGCATCAGAGCTCCCTGGGCCCTGTGGACCTGCAGTTTTATCCCACTGCCAAACAAGGTGCCATCTCAGCAGCAGTGAGCAGTGTATCAGAGCTGTTTGCATCCTCTGTTGGGGAAGGTTTAGGGGCACAGCCTCGGGGGCAGCTGGTTGTGCCCAAAAGGTCCCAGGCAGTGCTCTGGCCTCTTTTGCCAGGTACTTAGCCACCAGGCCCCTGGCCAGGTCTTGGCCAAGTTCTGTGTAACCCAATTCTGCCTTTCTGGTCTTGAGGAAACAGACCTCTGCTTTGCAGGAAGCCTAAGAACAAGGTGCTCACATTGAACCGGGTGGGAGATGCCAGCCGAGCCCCTAGTTTTACAGAGACTACTGCTCATAAAGAAACATCCTGCGGAAGGGTGTAGCCCTGGGTTCTGTTCCCCATCTGCACTGACTACAAAGCCCCACCCCTTTGTCTAGGGCCTTCAGTTACTACGTTAATATTCTCTCTCCAGCCATCACCAGCTTCTCACCCAGACCCACTTTAAACTCTAAAGAGCACTAGCAAGCTCTGTGACCCAGGGTTAAAGTCATGCTGACATATGACAAACCCCAAGAAGTCAGCAAGCCCATCTTCAGGATCACCCCCAAACAGATAGCCAACTGCCCCGCAGCACCTGGCCCCAAGCCTGTGGGTGGGCCAGCTCTCCACCCCTCAGGCCTTCATCCCTACCAACAGAACCCAGCAAATCGAATTGCCTAATGAGACACACATTTTGTGGGGAGTTACTAATTAAAGAACAAACCCAACCTACCATTAATTTGGTCCTGGGAAAGGAACTTGGCCTGCAGCAGAGAAAAGAACAGTCAGGAGGGGGCATCAGCAGGGCCCATCCCACCTACTTCCGGCAAAGCCCCTCACTTACCATCCTTAGGCAGCCCTTGCTCCTGGAACTGTGTTTGGTTCTCTTTCCTCTGGCTTGGAGTCTAAAGTCCACCGGGCTGGGTGGAGGCCTTGTAATAAATCCTCTGCTGCCATGGAGACTGGGCCCGATGCCATGAGGGTCAGATTCCAGCCTTCTCTGAGCAGAGGATGCCCCATCATCCTGAGAAGGTTGACTGTGAGGAAACAATTACAGACTATCATGGAGGTCCTCGCTGCTGGAGGCTGAGACTCTGTAGCAACAGGACAAATACTGGCGTCCCTTCCTGGGAGCCTAGATTCTGAAAACAGGGCCCTGAGTGGGGCTGGCTCTGTCCTGGTCTGAGCCTGCCTGTCCTGTGACCCTTTTCTCTCTCCTGAAGCTAAGCTGGACTCCTTGCTGGAGCCCAAACACAACACACACTGTTTCTCCAGAAGAGGCTGTCCAAAGGAGCCAGGCACAGAGACACCTCATACACAGCCTTGGGGATGCACTGCGGCTGGGGCCACACTGAGGACATTGTCCTCAGCTGGGATCCAGATCCTTCCTCTCCTCTGTACCTCACTTTCCTCACCAGATACATTATGCATGATTACAGGCAGCTGGGACTCAATGACCAGCACACAGCCAATTCTACTTCCTAGGAGCTGGGGTGGTGCTGGTGCTGGAGCTGGGTCCCCAAGGCTTTAAGCTAGCTGCTCAGGGGCCTTGGAGTTTCCCAGTGACTTTCCCAGGCAGGAAGTTCCTCTATCTCTTCCTTCCTCTCCTCACCCTTTCCTGTCTTCGTGCTGACTGAATTTCTCAGCATTCTACGCTGTTCCCCTTCCCCTGAGAGACAGGGCGATATGGGTGACTTCCAGAACTGCCACTGAGCCCTCACTGGTTTGGAAGTCTCCTTCCCTCATTCTACCTGGTGGCTGGTTTCCCTGCAAGGTGCTAAATCCAGACTGGCCCAGTTGTTAGTTATTGTGTGGCCACCCAGGCTGTGCACTACACAGGGAGCTAATGGGGGCTGCCAAAAGCTGCAAGTGCCAGAGAGGGGGTCTCCCACCAACTTGTGTGAGGGTGCGTGGACACAGGACCCCCTCTGGTCCTGACCATGTTCCTCCTGATTGATCTCTTCATGCTCTTAGACTTGAGAATCTTGAGGTTCGGATTGAACTCTATGGGGTAGGTATGGTGTGGGAAGGCTGGAGGGTTCACCTCAATGGCTTTGAGAGAGTAAGGGAAGTAGGCAGGACTTTGACAGGCAGAAATTTTTTGTTTCAGGGGTGTGACATATGAGACTGTCCTAAGTCAGTTATTAGCATGATTTTACAAATATTATGTCATCGTTAACAGAGTTGGAGAGTTTTAAGCTTTCTCTGTGTGGTGAGAGTGGGAACTTTGTAACCTTTTCAGAGACCACAATTCTGTGGCCAGCAGATGGCAGTCCACACATCTCCTGGTGCTTATGTACTTCCTAGTTTGGTGATCTGCTAGGTGTCAGGATTTGTTCTGGTAACTTATGGACATTGAGAACCTCAAAGAATTTATATGTGAATATTTCCACCCAGTAAGACTCTAAAAGCTCCACCCACGGTAGAGTCCAGCTCCCTCCAGACTGAAGACTGGACAGTCTTTCGCTGGTTAACACCACGATGGCCTGGCTTGCCTCTACAGAGCTGGGGGTTTGCAGTCTCCCTTGTGAACATGAAGTTCGGCATCTGGTGTAATTTCGCTTAGCTTCCTTAAGCAGCCTGTTGTCTTACCTGGCCAGGTGGGGTAGGGAGCCCTTCGTGGCACAGAGTTGGGGATACAGCTAGCAGCGTACCCCTAAGAAAGTGCATTGTCAGACCTCGTCTTCCTCTAGACCAGTCGTTCTTACCCTTTCTAATGTAGTGACCCTTTTGTACAATTCCTCATGTTGTGGTGACCCTAGCCATAAAATTATTTTCATTGGTATTTCATAACTGTAATTTTGCTAGTGTTATGGATCATAATGTAAATATCTAATTATGTAGGATATTTAATATGTGACCCTTGTGAAAAAATCATAGGACTCCCAAAGGGTTCACAATCCAAAGGTTGAGAATCACTGTTCTTATACTCGTATGCATATGTATCCACCTTGATTCACCTGATGACTACCACCAGACAGAAAAGCACTTTTTTTTATGGGAGAGGTGAGGGCTTTAAGACAGGGTTTCTCTGTGTAGCTTTGAAGCCTGTCTTGGAACTCAGTCTGTAGACCAGGCTGGCCTCGAACTCACAGAGATCCACCCGTCTCTGTCTCCTGAGTACTGGGATTAAAGGCATGTGCTGCCATCACCATCCAGCCAGAAATGCACTTTTTAAAATATACTTTTAATTATGTGTATGTTTGCATGTCTGTACATGTGAGTACAGGAGCCCACAGAGGCCAGGAGTGGATGTCAGAGCCCCCCAAAGCTGGAGTTATAGGCAGTTGTGAGCCACCCTATGTAGATGCTGGGAACCAAATTCAGGTCCTCTGCAAACAGTGAGTGCTCACTGAGTTATCTCTCCAAACATTTGTTGATGTTTGGAGGCAGATCTCATTGCCCAGGCTGCCCTCAAGCTCACTGTATAATCGAGGATGACTTGGAACTCTTGATCCTCTTCCCTCCACCTCCCAGGTACACATCAGGTATTTGCAGCCACACCCTGTCTCATATGCTGTTTCAGTTGGTTCAAAGCTCCTGCTCCAGAGCTGTGGCTGCACGTGGCTCATGGCATATGCCTACCAGATTCCACAGTACTCTGCATGTTAAGAGAAACAGAAAAACACTCCAGTACCACTTGGGACTGAGTTTATCCACTTTATTCTTGAAATGTGGCCCTCCTGGCTAGGGGATTACACCTCCACTAGGCATCATCAACTTCTGTTGGATCCTTCTCTTTTTACCACTCTGTGGACTAAGCCCCCTCCCTGTGGAAGGGGCTTCAGGCAAGTGGCACCTTCTCCCTACTTAGGCTTCTTTGTCTACAAGGATGCCAACCAGAGCCACAGAAGAGCCTGTGGGGAATGTCTTAGAAAGGTTATGTGGGGGTCAGGGTTCAGGATAAAGTTCAGTTGGTAGAACATTTGTCTAGCCTTCAAGCCCTGGGTTCTATCCACAGCACTGCATAAACCATACCTGTAACTTTAGAAAGAGGGTAAAGGCAGGAGAATCAGAAGTTCAGTGCCACCCTGGGCTACTGAGTTCAAAGCCAGCCTGTACTACAGGAGACTGAGTTCCTGACCTCAGCCCTGCCTCCCTAAATCCTACCCTTGAAAGGGATGCTACTTTCTTATGGAGCTGTGTTCCTCCTAATTCTCCTAGCCAAGGACCCCTGTCACTTATAGTTGGTCTTAGCCCTAACCCCCACCCCAGGAGAGTGTCTTGGCAGGCTTCCTGTGTGCCTGCTGGGTAAAGTCTGGAAGGGCAAGAAGCAGCCGTCTGCCTCTGCTCTCCCCACCTCCATCACATGTGCCTTGTTTCCAGCCTCTCCTAGACTAGTGTCCACCTGGAGCCTACAGGACTCCATCTGAAGTAGCATCTGTGGGTATAACTGAGATGAGGTCATTCAGAGTGAGTAGGGCACTGATTCCCCTAACTTGAGGAGGGCAATCAGACACCACATGGGGAGAGCCATGACTAATGGGCCCACAGCCCAGAACACCTGGGATAGCCTGGGTTCCAGCACAGGCTGGAAGCTGCAGAGAAGCATCCGCTAGAGCCCTGAGAACACAGCGCTGTCAACAGCGCCCCCCTCAGAACTGAGCAGATAACTAAACACCTGCTATTCTCAGCCATCATATTCACAGTACCATGACAGCTGCCTTGCAGACTCACATGGTCTGCACACTTGTACCTGGGCAGCAAGGAACTGGTCTCATGGCTCCCACGAGGTACAACCTGGGTGGGAGGTGTCAAGATGCCTCCTTTCCAAAGGAAGCTGAAGCTCCAGTCTGGGATCACACTGGGTAGCCAGGGCCTGGAGTGGTGGTCCCCAAGGGAGCCCACATCAGTTGCCTGCAGGGTCCATCTCCAGTTTCTGGTTTCCCCCACAACATAGTGTACTCTGGTAGAAATCCAAGTAGATGCCATCCACATGGCTTTCCAGGGTGATGACATCCCTCATCAACTGCCCAAGAGGCACACAGAGGTCCAGGGCTCCAGGAACTTGCTATTCCTAAATACTCTATTTAGTAAATATTTTTAAATGTTTCCTTAGGGCCAAGGAGATGGTTCAGTTGGTAAAGCACTTGCTTTTCAAGCACAAGGATCTGCATTCTAACCTCAGAGCCCACATAAGGGCAGGCATGACACATGTTTGTACTCTAGGCCTGGGGAGGTAGAGAGTGCTGGACCCCTGGAGACCACTGGCCAGTGAGCTAGCCTAATGGGCAAGTTCCAGGCCAATGAAAGAGACCATGTCTCAAAAACAAGGTAGACAGTGTTCCTAAAGGGCACCTGAGGTTTTCCTCTGGCCTACACTGCCCACCTTCCCAATCTTTTCTTACTAAGCACTCGCCAAAATGCAGTCTTCAGGCTCCACAAGCCAGGCCTGTCCCTGCTTGAGACAGCTGTTTAGACCTTCTGATGATAGTCTTGAAATAGCAGCATCCTGGAGGTAGGCAAGGGATGTGCTGGATGGCTGAGTGGACAGACGCATGGGTGGAGCCACGTTCCCCACTCTGACTTGTGGTAACCTTACCCATGTCTCTGGTGAGGTGTGGCCAGGCTCAGAACTTTGGCCACCAAGAGCCCAGGCTCCAAGAGCGTAGTCACCTTGCCCACGGCTCAGGGCCAGGGCCACCTCCTACAAAGTAGCTTCCCACTGCCTCCTAGCACAGGGGACAACTGGTGGGACACCCTCAGTGACAGGTGAGGTGCTGTACTTCCCCTCACTGACCTAGGCTCCCCGAGGAACACGCTATCGACTGCCCACAGCCCCAGGTAGCTAAATCAGTGGATCTCAGTCTTCCTAGCGCTGTGACCCTTTAATACAATTTCTCATGCTGTGGTGACACCAACCATAACATTATTTTTGCTGCTACTTCATAACTGTCATTTTGCCGAGTGGTGTCTCAGTTCCTAAGACAATGAGAAATAAGCTTCCTGATGGTTGAGAACCACTGCTCTAGGTGGTAGGCAGATGAGAAATAAGCTTCCTGATGGTTGAGAACCACTGCTCTAGGTGGTAGGCAGATGAGAAATAAGCTTCGTGATGGTTGAGAACCACTGCTCTAGGGGGTAGGCAGATGAGGCAGGGAGTGGGAGTGAGAAAGGGCCCCGCAAGGTCTGCTTCAAGAGAAAGCCTTGTACCCTGCAGCCTAGGCTCCGGACCATACAGTCTTTCCCTCAGTCCAGAACTCCCTCCTGCCTCCTCACCACTCCCAAAGGTAGAAACGGCCACCAGCCAGGCCAGGCCACACTGCCTTTATTCAGACCTCTCGCGGCCCAGCATGGGCCAGCCTATAGAAAGATCACAACAAAAGAGAAGAATCAGGCCCAGTGTTCCCTGAGAGCAACAGAAAAGAATGCATAGTAGGAATGTCCCCAAGACTCACAGCACAGGGCAGTGCTGTGAGGGAGACCTGTATCTGAGGCCTGGGAGGAGGTGGGTTGGGGACAGGCAGGAGTCACCATGCTGGGAACAAAGGCACCAGGCAGGCAGTGAGAGATTCAAGTTGAGATGTGATGTCTTGAGAGAGAGATTTGTAACATCCCAGACCCTTACAATGGGTCTCAGGAATCTATAAAACAAGGACTTGAGATCTCTGTCTTCCATGTAGTTCAAAACCCAGGCTGGTTTCCAGAGTTCAGCTGATACCGACCTGGAGCTGGGCCTCTGGCTCCCTGGAGACTGGGTTCTCAGCAGCTTGTGAGTGGGGTTCGAGGCTGGATAAGAGTGGGAGGAGCATAGCCCACTAGGCTGAGCGTGGGGACACGGTAACAGACAGAAGCACTCTTCCTTGCTGAGGCCTTACTAAGGCTGTCCCAGGGTAACCAGTAACATCCAGTCCAGAGCCACTTGGGGAGCATGGAGCCCTCTAGGACAAAGGAAGCCCAGAGATGGAAATACTGTGTTCAAAGGACAGAAGTTGTGTCCTTTAGGTCTGGAGGCAGGTGGCTTCAGGGTGATCCAGCTTCTGAGTGGGTGGCAGAGCCTCCTGCTTCTGCCCTGCCCAGCCCTCACCTGCATGGCCACCAGAAGACATTTCCATAAGGCCAACCCAGTCCTGAGAGATAGGAATGTTATCTCTAGTAGTAGTGAAATTCAGGGGAGGGAGGGCAGGGACCAGGATCTTGGCCTTCATATACTTTCCCAAACTAAATTCCATCTTAAGTCCAAAGCAACAAACAAAAAACCAACCCTGACCAAAACAGCTGCGTCTCTCAACAATGAACAATGTCAGTCCCTGTGCAGTGCACAAATGCACATATGCACAAATGCCATAGCCTGTTACGCCCAGGGAGACTCAGTGCTGACTGCTGACATGGAGCGTGTAGAAGGCCCATGGCTCAGGGACGTAGATGACGCCAGGGTACTTCTTTCTGAGTACAGGGTCATTCCACAGCCAAGCAACCCACAGAGCCACCAGTGAGAGGGTGAGGGCGAAGGAATAGAAGAGGAAGAGGCCGTTGCTGTCCAGGAAGAGGAGCCTGCGCTTCTGGTGCAAGACGAGAGCCAGCATGGCAAAGAAGGTGAAGATAAAGAGAATGAAGATCTGGCCCTCGGTGACCAGGTACCTGGAGAAAGAAGACAGGTGTAAAAGTGAAGTGGTTACCATGGCAACACCATCCTGCCCAGTATTCCTCTGGCCCAAGTACTAGGCTGCCCTCCTAGTCAATCAGAGGACCCAATGTGCCAGGACAATCTAAACTACAGCACAGAGGTATCATACTACTTTGACTTTAAGTGGTATAATAATACTCTGGATAGCTGGACATGGTGTTGTACACCTTTAATCTCAGCACTATGAAGGCAGAAGCAGGCAGATCTTTGTGAGTTTGAGGCCAGCCTAATCTACATAGTTAGTTCCAGGACAGCTAAGGTTACGTAGACTCTGTTTCAAAATAATAATAATAGTAAGTAGTAGTTGTAGTAATAATAAAATATAACATCCTGCCTCTACCTCCCAAGTGCTAGGATTACAGAGATGGGTCATCACACCAGTACTGCTTATGTGTGGATTTTCCTGTGGTGGCTCATTCAGTGCCTGCACCCTTTGTCCCCCCCTAAATGTCAGTGTCCACTCACCAATAGTACAGACCACTGGGCACCACCAGGAGCAGGGCAGGCCCTGGCATGTGGCTCTCAGCCTTGGCGGTAGTAAAACAGCCACTGAAGTACATGAAGAGGATGAGGAAGAAGGGAATGTACCTGCGATGGAGAGGCAGTAGCTGTGAAAGGCTGACCGGGGGAGTCCCCATCATCTTTGTCACATTTATGTCACCCTTGCATTGTCACATAGGGTGTCACCTCATGGTTTATAAAACCCTTGGCATGGGTCGTGCACACGCCTCTACATTCAGCCTTTCATTCCCTTGAATCCAGATAAGAACAGAAACCAAAAGGTGAGGTTTATGTAGAGGGCCCTGGGCTCCTTGTGTTAAATACTGAGGTGAAGGGCCTGGGTTCCATGGCAACCACACCTGCCTGACTTCCCTCTCTGGACCTGGTCCCCACTCTGTCCCTCATTCCACATGGAGATGAGGCGATTTGGGGCTCTGTCTCACCCATGTGCCTTAGACATCAGTAGGCCCAGTGCCACACTGATACCCAGCAAGGCTGAGGTCAGAGAACATCGTTCTGGGAGGTCGCAAGGAGGGATGTGGAACTCTTCATTCATACTCAGCCAACAGTCCCCACCTCATCCAAGAGTATGGCTTCTCTCCTCCCCACACAAGGGCTCCCTCTCCTTCCAATACACACACACACACACACACACACACACACACACACACACACTCATGCACACACTCTGTCTCTCTCTCATGGTCTCATACACAAAACCTTTTCTGTCATGTGACACCCCCACCCTCCAATACTCAGTGCATTCCTCCAACCTCTCCGGAATTCCTAGGCCTGTCCCTCTTCCCTCCTCCCTTCCCGTGGGAGGAGTCAGGAAAAGCTGGCATGAGGTCTGCACAGAGGTCCTCTAGCGCCCTCCAAACCAGGAGGATCACCTCCATAAGCTCAGACAGCCCCACAGACACCAGTGTGGGGCACGTGTTGTGGGAAGTTCCACAGTACTGATGAGGCACCAGATGCAGGGCTAGCCCATCACCTCCCAGTTGACAACTGTTCTTATCTCTTCCCCTCGGGCTTTAGTTTTTGCAGTGTAGGATGGGGGTGGCAGAGGAAACTTCCTCATTTGAGCTCTGAATCTCTGGTTCTGACCCCACATTTCTGAGATTTCCCTGAGGGTGGTAGTGCTGCTGCTGCTGGTGGTGATATTCCCCTGGGATTCTAAGATGGGGAACACAAATTGTGCCACCTAAACCTGGCCTTACTGGCTCTTCTCAATTTCCTACATCCCCATCTGTCTTCTGCATTTCACCCACAGCTATCTAGTCACTAGATTCCAGTGTGTGTATTTATCAGGCTACAGTCCTCCCTCCCCAAAAGGGCTCAGCCATGGCTAAGATGGACAAACACCTGCTTTCTGCCCTCTAGTGGCTACGCTGGGAACTTCAGGTAAGGAGCAGGCTCTAAGAGTCCCCTTAGGGCCAATCAAAAGTTAGCTGGGTCTTCCTACATCCTGACCAGGGGTCCCATTCTTAGTGCCTTCGCTGAGAAGGTAATTCTGTTCCAGATGCTCCACTCAATACAGAGGCTGGGATCCAGGGAGCTTTGTCCAATATCCTGGTGCCTGAGCCCTGGATGGAACATAGTCAGCCCCTCACTCACCACATGGAGTGGCCCAGGTACTCGTCATAGTAGTAGAGCAGCTCAAAGGAGTCGATCTGAGAAGGCACAGGGGTAGCAGAGTGAGTGGGGCAGGGACCTGAGGCCACGCTGCTGCCCACTCCCGCCTCTTTCAACACCTCCCACACACCATTCTCATTCCCTCCCTAGGGAACCTCAGGGGCCACTGGGAACCAGTCACTGTACCACTTTCTTTCTCTCATTTTTTAAATTCATTCATTCCCCCTCCCTTCCTCCCTTTCTCTTCTTCTTACATAGTCTGGCTATTTAAACCAGGCTTGTCTTGAACTTGTAGCAACCCTCTTCTCTTTCCCTCCTGAGTGCTGTAGTTTCAGACATGCACCCCACATCCAGATACTGACTCCCTTTACAATGTAGGAGAATACTGATTCAGGTAGGCAACAGTGCCCTCACTTAGCTGCATGAGGCAAAGGCAGGAGGATCAGGAGTTCAAGGTCATCCTTGGCTACTTATAGAATTTGTGGTCAGCCTGGACTACATGAGACAGTGACTGGCAGGGGAGCCTCTTTAGACAAGAACAGGACCTAGTAGGGCAGCCTTGCTAGAGTGGGTCGGGGGGGGCAGCCTCACCAGCGTCTCTGGCTTGAGATTCTTGATGATGGGGTTCTCTCTGACGGACAGGTGGTGCTGGTACCCACTGAAGAGCAGGCGATGGTTGACGGAGTCGCCCACCAGGTGAATGCTGGCTCCCATGATGAAAGTGATGATGCTGACGTAGATTATAGATCTCGGCAGCGTGCGAGGAGACCGTTCAATGAGCTGAGGTTCAGAATGAGGTTCACGGCATGCCCCTGACTCCGTTACAATGTGTGAAAACCTCTGCCTCCCTTCCCTCAGAAAAGTGGTATAGAAAGTCCCTCTGGGAGTTGTAGGTTTCGTAGTACAGACTAGCTCCAGATCGATCATGGTATGGTGTAAATCCAGCAGGGTCTGCTGAAGGACACCCTTCCTCTTTAGGAAGATCAGATGAAGGTAGGGGGTGTGGACAATGTTAGAAGTGACCAGACCTTCAAGGGAGGAGTCCTGGTGAGGTCAGACTCTTCCACTACCCCAGGGTGTCCCCTGTATGTCTTGGGTGGGCCAGCATGCTGCAGGGATCTGGTTTTTGAGTGGGAGGTCCCTAGCAAACAGAAGATATCAGGGAGTCCAAAATAGGGGTGGGTGTTCCAAAACACAAACTGTCCTGAGGTGATGCTTCTCCAACTTTTAGAGGTTTGAAATGTTTTTTTCATTTTTAAATTTTTAAAGAAACATTCACCTATTTATTTATTCTGTGAGTATATTTATGTAGGTACACATGTAAAGCTCAGAGGACAATTTGTGAACTCATTTCTTATGATATGGGATGAAATGCAGGTTGTCAGGCTTAGCAGCAAGCACCCTGACCCACTGAACCAGTTCATCAGCTCATGAAGTGTGTGTGTGTGTGTGTGTGCGTGCGCGCGCGCGCGCGCGCGCGCGTGTGAGAGAGAGAGAGAGAGAGAGAGAGAGGGAGAGGGAGAGGGAGAGGGAGAGGGAGAGGGAGAGGGAGGGGAGGGAGGGAGGAAGGGAGAGGAGAGAGAGCAGAGAGGATGGGAAGGAGGTAGGCCAGTCTGTACCTTGAGCAGAAGGAAGGGTGTGATGACATTGTAGGCCATGTGGAAGTAGTCCCCAACACTTGGCTTGTTGAGCGGAAACCACTGGAGTGGGAACACCAACTAGGAAAGAGGGCATTCGTTCTCAGGAAGGCCTGAGGCCACTGGACACCAGCCCCCCCTACACACACACACACACACACACACACACACACACACACACACACACTGAACTCTTCTGTGCTCTATTGGAAGCCCTAAGCCAAAGGGACTCTCAGAGAGAGAGAGAAACTGAGTTCTGTAGACAGTAAATGGACTGTTCCTAGTCATATTTGGTACATAGAAACCCAAGGAGTATCTTAGCACTGCTACAAAATAGTATTCTTCACAATAGTATTTTTTTTAACTATTTCATATTTTATTTAATCATTTATTTATTTATTTACGGATCTTTTTGAGACAGGGTTTCTCTGTAGCTTTGGAGCTTGTCCTGGAACTCCCTCTGTAGACCAGGCTGGCTTGAACTCACAAAGTGAATGCTGGGATTAAAGGATGCGCCACCACTACCCAGCTATTTTATTTAATCCTTTATTTTAGGACAAAACACATTTACAGTTTAAAATCTTTCCTAATTTGAAAAAGGTTCTTTTTCTTTTAACATTCTACCATATTTACATGGTTTTTATTCCGCTGAGTGGGGAGAGCAAATCACCTTCTGAACTTTTCACTGTGTAGGTCTTTCATGTCCTTGAGTAGGTGCATTTCAAGGTATTTTGTTTTAGTTTTCAGGCCCCTGTGAATGGGCTTTTTCCCTGGTTTCTTTCTCAATCTGTTTGTATCTGGTACAGAGGAAGGCTATGTTAATTTTGTAACCTGCCACTTTGCTGGAAGAGTTTAGCAGTTTGGTTTGTCTTGTCTTGTGACAGGGTCTGACCATGTAGTTCAGACAGGTCATTATAATACATGTTTACTAGGGAAGGTTAAGTAATAGAAACAGCAGTTTGCATATATTGCTATAGAGCCATGGTTCTCAACCTTTCTAATGCTGTGACCCTTTAATACAGCTCTTCATGTTCTGTTGACCCCAACCATAAAATTATTTCTGTTGCTACTTAATAACTAAATTTTGCTACTGTTATGAATCATAATGAATCATATTTGAAGGTAGAGATTTGCCAAAGGGGTTGCAACCCATAGGTTCAGAAACACTGCTATGGAGATCTCTTCTAATGTAAAACAATCAAGGTGCAGAATATAAGATATAAAACAAAAATCTCCTTTTGGTTAGGAAAAGAAAAGAGGAATTTCTATATATGCTTACATACAGAGAAAGGAGTAGAAGAGTATGCCCCTGCCCTCAGGAAAGTCTAACCCTTCTGTATTTGGGGACTTCTACAGATTATTCTCATTACTTGGAAGTGACTTTATTTTTGGTCAGTTACAATATGCAAATTCAGCTGATGGGCTTCACCTCCAGATGACAGTACTGTAAGACAATGAGGGATGACAACAGCTATGTTCTACCTCACGGGATGGCTGTTGGAACCCACCCAGGCTCTCTCACTTGCAAGAGTAACCAGACACACCGCTACCGAACGGAAAGGCCTCTGAGTTCTCCCTAAGACGTGATGTCTGTAAGGTCACTCAGCAAATGGAAATCACATTAAGTCCCCTCAATGCTCACAGGACTCAGCCTCACACTTACCATGGCAATGGGGCGGCCAAAGTCGAGGACCCAGTTCTGCACTGTGAAGTAGAACCAGAGGTCAAAGTGGAAGGGAGCCGTGCGGTCTGTCTCCTCGGCCTTTACGGAGCCATGCCTGGCAAGGAGCAAAACTAGAGTCAGCCCTCTCCCCTCGCCACCAACCCAAGAGCAAGACCAAGAGGTCTAGGCACTTGAAGGGGACATACATGTTATCTAGGGAAAGGAAGCCCAGAGGCTGATCAAGAGGATAGAGGATTTCAGTTGTCCTAACTACCCTGTGACTCAGGAAGAAACTGACCCACAGGTGAAGTAACTGTCAAACTTTCATTATAAAATGGTGGAGAAATAAAACTAGGCAAAGCATGAAAGATGAATGAAAAATATCAAGCATAATGATGGACAGCAGCAGACAACCTTCATGAAGCACTCATGATCCCCCAGGAACCATGTGGTAGCTATCTGCTTGAGTGAGCTCATTTCTTTATTTGTTATGCATTAATTTTTTTAAGAGACATGTATGTGCAACTCTATGAATGCACATGAGTTTAGAATCACCGGAGGGAAGACCTTTTTTTTTTTTTATAATAGAAACAGCCTGGTGGTATTGGTACATGCTTTTAATCTGGGGGGAGGGGCAGCAAATCAACAGAGTGAGTTCCAGAAACAGCCAGGGCTACGAAGAGAAACCCTATGGCAAATAATAATAATTAATTCACTATTTAAATACAATCCCAATAATTATTTGAGTGTGTGAGCATGCATACATGCCCTGCCATGCATATGGAGGTTAAAAGACTTTGTTCAAAGCTGCTCTCTTTTCCACCAAGTGGGTCCTGGGATCAAACCCAGGTCTTCAGGCTTAGTGGGTGCCTTACCCCACAAAGCCACATCAGCAGTCCAAAAGGAGACAGTATTAAGGTTCCCCCAACTCTCCAACCTCCTCATTAGAGTCTAAGTCCCCCTACAGTATGCTTACTATCCAGAGACAAGACACTACTAACCTCTAAGATGAGAGGAGCCTCGTTATCCCGTATGTGTGGCCAGACCAGACACAGATCCCTGAGTCGTCAGCTCTGTCCCTGACTCAGACTGCCTTAAAACCATCATAATGGCCCCTGTTCCATAGCCATCCCCTAAAGGAACATGTGAGCTGAGCAGCACCATAAAGATGGTCCTCTGTCAGTGTTGACTTTCATAATTTTCTGGACTTCTCAGCAAATTAGCTGATGCTAATCCCAAAGATGAGTTGACAGATCAAGCCACTGGGGCCAAGGAGGCAGGCCCTTGGGGATCTGTGGTCCTATGGAAGGCAAGGCAGGTAGAGGCAGCTTTCCCCAAGTCAACACAGCTTTCCTATCCCCCAATTCCACCACACACTGATCAACAACTATGCATGATGTGATGACTTTACCTGTATCGTCTAGACTAATCCCAGGCAGTGGCATCAGAGGCAGAAACTGTCTGCTGCTACTGCTTGTAGATGAAGATACTGAGGCCAAGAAAAAAAAGAAGGGGCCCCAAAGAAAGGGTGTGTGTGTGTGTGTGTGTGTGTGTGTGTGGTGTGTGTGTGTGTGTGTGTGTGTGTGTGTGTATGTATACATGCACAAAAAGTGTGCATGTGTCACATGGCAGGCTGCCTCCGACATATGAACTGGTATCTTCTCTTTTGCTGGGGCTACTGAGCTCACACTGACTGACACCAAAATGGAGGAGTTCTGCCTAGCACTGAACTCAAGCTTGGGTCTTTACCACTTACTCTCCTGATTATGATAGGTTACTGATTACTATGTATTACTATAAGAAGCCAGCTGGCATTTGAGGTCAAACTAGAAAAGGATCAGTGTAGACAGAAACAATAAGCAGAACCTACAGAAAGGCAGGTATGGGCACTTTTAACCAGGAAGAAGAGCTGCATGTGAGCAGGAGGGAAAGGCCTGTGGCAGGAGGAGAGATCACACTGCACATGTCCCAGGTTTATGAGGGAGGGATCGTAGGGGCTGTAGCCAGACCTGACAGGGCAGATATTCCTGTTAGCTATGCACACTGCTCAGAGTTCAGCAATAGCACTCCAGTAGAGTCCGTTTGTTTCTTCCTCTTTATGATCGTCAGGACAGGCCTCAGACAAGCAGTGAGTGATGAAGGATTTGGAGGGAGGAGGCGAGTGCCCTCCGTGCTTTTAGTCTGAAACTTCCAACTCAGACAGAGGTGTCATGTTTAGTATAAAGAATAAAGAAGTTTTGAAAGGCAAGGGGAAGGGAGGCACTTGGTGCATGCTTCTAGAATTTACTGGTTCATACTAGAGGCTCAGTAGCAATTTCTTCTTCTCTTCTAGAAAGCACTTCCACCCATGGGAACTCTGACATTAGTCCAGCCTAGCTTAGTAGGACAGGTAGAGGAAACAGGTAGTAAAGGGAAGGTACCAGCTTAGGAATCAGGGCTGATAAACACGGATTTTCAGAATCCCCACTGTGCTCTGCAGTTATCTCTCTCCCTCTGTGTGTGTGTGTGTGTGTGTGTGTGTGTGTGTGTGTGTGTGTGTGTGAACGCGCCTTGCTTTACCAGCAGTAAGTAAACAGAAGACTGATAGACATCTAAATGGTTTTCTTCTGTTGGGGCTCTCTGACTGTGAAGGCAGATCACACAGGGTAACGGTATCTCCCCTCAACACCCAAACTCCTGCCCTGAGGATGAATGAACTCAAGTGTGTCCCAAGTTCCTGATTCCAGACTTTCCAGGCTGAGCCCCCAAGCCATGCTGGCCCTAGGTCCCCATCAGGAGCAATGTTGGGCAGAACTGTGGACAGCAGTGAAAGCCCAATGGCAGGTAACCTGAAGCAAGCCCAGCCCTTGCTCCTGCTCCCCTCCACAGCTTCCCAAGTCTACCACACAGGGAAACCGACACCAGACAGCTGGGAAGCCAGCATCGAACAGGGGCATCTGCAACCCCGGGCAGTAAGAAAGAAGACTGCTTGTCTGGAGAAGCACCTGGAACTGTGAGTGGGGATAGAATAAGGCTGACTCTGGGTTCTTATAAAGGACAGTGAAATGGGGGACATGATGATACTGAGGCTTTTAATGAAAAATGAGGAAATGCCGACAAACAAAAGCAAGACGAAAAGGAAAACTAACCAAGAGCCATGTTATGGTGGCACACACCTTTAATCCCGACACTCAGGAGGCAGAGGCAGGCAGATCTCTGTGAGTTCCAGGCCAGCCTGGTCTACAGAGTGAGCTCCAGGACAGACAGAGCTACATAATAAAGACTCTGTCTCAAAACAACAGAAAAACAGCTTACATATTATAAACACTGTATACTGACTTCCAATGTTTAGAAGTAATCCACAGATAACATGTAGGAAGATAATTTGAATTCCTGAGTGCTGTGGGCAGCATAGGGCATACTAGAGGTGCTTACTGAATGCCACCTGAACTTGGGGAACATTTCTGGTCAGTAAAACAGTCTGACCCTCATTCTGATCAGGCTCCTTAGCTTGCTCTGGACCTACCTTATCAGTCAAGATGAGTAAGTAACACTTAGAAGAGTAAATGGGCCGTGGATTGACATGTTGCTCAATAATGTGCCTACAGGCAAATCTATCCTAGTGCAAACATGATAGAGCAGATATACAATCTAAGATGGCTGCTGTGTTACTAAGCCACAGAAATCCTACAGGATGACCACCAGGTAGAAAGAAATATTACCAGGCACGCGACTGCACATGCTCAGAAAATTGGCTTCCAAGTCAAAAGGCAAACTTAAGGGAGCTAACCTCAGCCCAGCCCCCCAAACTTCCCCCACCATCCCAAATCACACCAGGAACTTCTGAAAATGAACATGGAGCATACTAGTGCTCAATACTCTCCCATGGCTCTTTGGTACCTATGGGACATGGGTATACACTTTTAACAGGTCATTTAGGATGAGAAAAGCATGGGCTTACTGCTTAATCGGTGAGCAGCCTCCTTTTCAGGAGTGTTCCCACCTCCTCAAAGTTTCCACTCTAGGGCCTTCTGGTCTAACTCAGGGGCATTTAGGGCACTTCGAAGTCAGTCCAGCCCCCTGTCATTTTCTCTTAGCTGTGGCTTGTCCAGCACCAGTACACTTCTTGCCTTTCCTCAGTCTTCCACTGGCTACCATGTTCAGTTTCTGCGGTGCTGGGCATTGAACCTAGGGCTTCCAGTGTACTACGCAGACACTACTGACTAGTCTACCCCTCCTGCCCCCCACCCCCGAAACCTGTCCCTACCTCCTGAGTGCTGGGATTAAAGACAGTCACCAAAAGGCCTGCACTGCTCAACTCCTCCAGAAAGCCCTCTAGGATTAGCTGCGTGGGCACCGACTTTCCCGTTTCCCGCCTGGTACAGCGTTTAATCAACACGGGTGACACGCGGGGAATGTTTATGGCCAATGAAGGGGATAGAGGCAGACTGGAGGTTTTGAAATATCAAAGGGCGGGTTTTGTGCCTCTGGCTCTGCCCCGCCCAGCCTTATAAAGCCCAAATATCACCCCCTCATTCAGAATGGGAGCAAGCCACTTCCCGCTGTCCCCGGTTACTGGCTCACTTTCCTGGGCCCCTGAGCCTCCAGAGTCAGAGCAGAGTCACAGTCTTGCCCAGAGCAGGAGGCTTCTGCAAACTTGGAAGTGGTGCAGGGACTCAGCAGAGCTGGCCGGGGTGACCTCCGAGCAGCTCGATTCCCCTGACCCTGGCGAGCTTTTTCAAACTCTGGGGGCCCCGCGCGCACCTGGCTTGCACGAACGTGGCACCGGGGCCGCTCGCTGCTCCCGGGAGCTGCCGCCTCCGCGCCGCCGCCTCCATGGCAGTTCAGCTCGGCATCGCCTTCCTGGAGGAGAGACGACTGCGCGGGCGACGGGGAGGAGGGGTGGACGACGAGGGGAGGAGCTGGAGGAGGAGGAAAGAGCAAGGGAGGGACCGGTAGAAAGGGTGGAGGATGGGGAGGGACTTAGATAGGGAAGGGAGAGGAAGCTGGTGAGGGACGTGGGAGGCGGGTTGGGGGGCAGTAGGGGAGCACAACACAGAAGGAGGAAGAAGAGAGGATGGAGGGAAAGAGGAGGGAGAAAATGCAGGGGAAGGGTGATCTTCATTGGGGAGAGAGAGAGAGAGAGAGAGAGAGAGAGAGAGAGAGAGAGAGAGAGTGTGTGTGTGTGTTTCTGGGTTCTCTGCATTTCTACAGGAAGGAAGCTTGCTTTGCCTGGCTAGAGGCACTGGACAGAGGTGAACTGGGGATCCAAGAATGATCAGAAGGCCTAGGGTATTTGAGTTCTTCAAGCTGTGCTGGGAACCCTCCTTCCTCGAATTAAAGACTGCTCAATAAACTATCAACTATGTGTTTTGATGGGTATAGAGGGTAGGGTCCCCCAAAGCAGAGAATTTTTCTTAGTTGGGTTTAATTGGGGTGCAGTGAGGATGGTCTAGGTTCCAGTTCTGGCTTTGTCACTTTGGCTTGGGGAAAGACCCACACTTCTCTGTCATTCAAATGTGTGAACAACTTTGTTGTAGGTTCTGTTCAAGGAGGAACCCATGAGCCCCATTTGGAAGTACTCCTGTATGTAGTCAGTGATGATGATGGAGGAAATACCCAGAGTTATATGTAGACATGGAGGCAGTAAGGCCACAGGCCTCACAGGAAGGACTTTGAGCTTCTCAGCTGGCAGGGAAGCGTGAGCTGGAGGTGGGAAAGAGCTCCAGGCAGGGACTAGCCAGAATGCCCATCCACCCACTCCACCTACCCTCATACCCCCCCCCCACACACACACACACATATCCCCTGTCCAGAGACTGGCTGGTATCTGGAGGAATGGCAAGTTCTGTTGGAGCCACATTTATCAGGGAAAGAGTGACAGAGGCTGAGGTAGGGAAGGGACAGGTTTAGATTGGATCCCCTCCATCCACGAGAACCACAGAAAGCAGCTGAGGATACTGGCAGGAGACTAGCATGTATCTGCATTTTAGATGTAGCCCATCCACAGAGTCCAGGTGGGTGAGAAGAGGCCGAACGGGAGATGAAGAATTCTGGTGCAGCCTGTAGGGTACCAAGTTCTAATGAGGGTTCTGGACTGTGATAGTAATGGTGGATGGAGGGAGGTGGGGCATGAGGAGTGGTGTGGGAGGTGTCCTCTCTAACTGGATGTATGCCTGTAAGGGGAGAGGGGAGTTTAGATGTGACCATGTTCTGTGTCTAAGTGGATGGGGCAGTCTTCCTTCGGAAGTGGGTTGGAGCAAGTACAGGGTGGATGAGGTGTCACCTTTGGATACATGAAGCTTGGGTTGGGTCAGGATGCTGCAGGACCCATGGATCTGGAGCTCAGGCAGCATGTCGGAGCCTGGCAGATGGCATCTGGAACCTAAGGAGACAATGTCCCTATGAGAAAAGAGAACAAAAACTAAACATAAGAAGCACTTACCAGGTATACTACTTGAGTTCCAGTCTAGCTGTGGCTGGAATAAATTTCCCAACCCCTCCCAGCCTCAGTTTACTTATCTGTAACAAGGGAAAAGCTATTTCATTTACAGCATTAGGATATGGTGGGTAAAGGAATACACGAGCCCTTTGCAGACCATCTGGCACAGTTGGAGAGAGGGGGAGGGAAGGAGGGAGAGAGAGAGAGAGTGAGAGGGAGAAAGTGAGCTTGGAGAATGTGCACATGTACAGGCAGGTGCATGTGGAGGCCAGAGGTCTTCATTGGTATCTCTGCTGCTCTGTCTCTTATTTTTGGAGACAGGTTATCTCATTGGGCCTGGAGCTTATCAGTTTGGCTAGACTAGCTAGCCAATGAGCATTGGGCATCTACCTGTCTCTTTTCCAGCAGTAGATGACAAATGTGCCCCATACACCTGGCTTTTCAAGTGGAGGCCGGGGATGGAAACCCTGGTCTTCATCCTCATGCAGTACCACCGTGCTGAATGAGTTGTCTGCCCAGGCGCTGGGCTGGTTATTTTTATCTCTCCACTCTGAGGGCATCTTCTATGGTATGGGGGGGTAATCCCTTTTTTGTTTTTTTTCTAGAGAGTTTTATTGAGATTATTCTTCCTTGCTTTAGTCAGACCTGCATGGACTGCTTGACCATAGGAGGCTGGGGCTACCTGCCTCGAGGTCATTTCTACCTCAGTCCACAAACCACACCTAGGTTCGTACTATGCCAACTGTAGTGGGTGGTACATTTGTTTCAATGCACTTTTATTTTTCTTTATTTTATTTCCTTACTATCCTTTTTTTTTTAAAGAGGGTCTTATGTAAATCAGGGTAGTCTCAATCTTACTATATAGCTAAGGATGACCTTAAACTTTTGATGTTCTTGTCTCTACCAGCTGAATGCTATTCACTTTGCTCAGTTTCAAGACTCTCTGAAGCTAGGCAACTCCATCCCCAGCCCTCCTCTAGTGTTTTCCTTTCTTTCTTTCTTTCTTTCTTTCTTTCTTTCTCTTTCTTCCTTCCTTTCTTTCTTTTTTTCTTTTTTTAAAATCTCTTTTATTTTGCCTATGCCAAAACGAGAGCAGGTGATGTCCTGATTTGGAAGCAAATTAAGCTAACATTCTGAGCTGAAGTAACATGTTCAAGGTCAGCCAATAGCAGCATCGAATCCTGGTCTTCAGCTTAATTCCCAGGAATCTGATCTGCAGATTGATGCCAGCCTTCCCACTCTGACCCCAATCTCTTTCCCTCTCTGTGGCTTTGCATGTTGCTGGTCTGCAAAGGGAGGGGGGCTGAAGCACCCAGATGTATCATGCTTCCAGCCATCAGAGGATAAGGCTGTATAGAGTCGGGAGCATGTGACCCATTTAATCCTCCAATTACTTAAATACCAAAAAATTGGCATTCTTCCTGAAGGAGCAGACGCCCCCGAGGGGAAGGGGAGGAGAGCAAGCTGCCAGGGCAGGCTTTCCTGCATGAACACAGGGATTTACAGGCCTGTTCTTTCCCGTCCCATCAGCCCCCCTGAAGAACACTATCTCCTTTAGCTCTTAAATGTCATGGAAGTATGCTGTGGAGGGCGAAGTGAGTGCCAACCCCTGGACACTGAGGGGCATTCATCTTCAGGATCTTGCTGTGACTTTCTAGGGACATGATTCCTGTACACCAGAAGAGCAAATGGCCTCAGTTCTCAGAACATAAGTTTCTGTGTCCAGCAATCAAAGACTGTAGAGGAGCCCTTACGGATTATTCAGAGCAGAGATAGGCTTTTCCTTGAGCCGAGTTTCCTAGTCCTTTCCAATGCCGACTGCAGCCAGTATTTATTTACTTAGGTCGTTTTGCTAAAACTCTCAGACTTGCTCTGCAGTCGAGGGTGACCCTGAACCCTGATCCTCCTGCCTCCACCATACTTTACAGTCTCAGGCCACATCTGCCCGCCCTCGGTTATCATAGTTTCACCTTTTCCTAAACTTCATGAAATGGCTCAGAATTTTCTGTCGGAGTTTTTCACTTAGTTTTGAGACTCAGCCATGCTTGTGTTAGGAGTTCAGTTGCTCTTGGGAGGGAGTAGACACCATTCCTTGGATGTACCACTGCAAGTTAATCCACGCAACTGTGAGTTCCCTTGAGTTGTTTTTGTCTGGGGCTATTTCAGAAGGCTGCCAGGAACGCATCAGGTGCCAGGCTTTGTGTGGCCAGATGCTAGTTAAATACCTAGAGATGGGATGGCTGGGTCATGTGCCAACTTATATTTTACTTTCTAAGAAATTTTTGTTTTCCAAATTACCTAAACCAACTCAAGTGATATATAATCTTGAAAACCTGAGATGCCCTATCTTGCAGGAGGCAAGAGGGACAGATTATATCTTAAATTCAGAGCAGTGGGCGACAGACTGTAGCATAATCAGACGGCTGGAAAGCCAAAGTGAGGGCTGACCTCCTTTGGCCCAGGGGCTTCTCGTGCCAGCAGTTCAAGAAGCTCTAAACAGGGTCACTGACCTCCATTCCTGTCTCTCACACTCCCTTGTCTTACCTGATCTTCTTGGGATGGGCTTCAGTGCCAAAGAATTAGGCCAAAGCAATCTATGCATAATGTATGATGACCTGGGAATTAACTTTCCAGTTGTGTAGAAAACCCTACTTGTTGGAGTTAAATTAACTATTCATTGGCTTGGATACAAGATCCCCAACCAACTAATAAGCTAGTCATAATTCTTAATGGGTCCAGGAGGCAAAACTGGTTCCTTCTTCCCAGCTAGACAATAAGCCAGAGGCATTTCTCAGGTATCTGGTAATCAATAAGCATCTGTTGAACTACACCAGAATGAGGCACACACAGGCCAGTATTTCCTTCCTTCCCTTCCTTTCTCCCTCTTCTATTTTATTTTGTGTAATGTGAGCTGTATTTTTGGTGTGTGTGTGTGTCCCTGCAAGTCCACGTGCTTGTGGGAAGGCTGAGGTCTAAGTTAGGTGTCTTCCCTCCACCACCCTTCACCTTTATGGTGTGAGCGAGCCAGTGTCTCTTATTAAGCCTGCAGCTCATCAATGGGCTAGGCTGGCTGGCCAAAGAGCTTCAAAGATTCACCTAGTCTCTTGTTCCCTGGTGCAATGCGGGGGCTACAGGCCTGAGCTGTCACACCTGGTTTTTACATGGCTCCTAGAAATCTGAATGCAGTTCCTCATGCTTGAGTGACAGGCACTTTACAGATTGAGCCATCTCCCAAGGACCCCCTCCTCTTCCTACTTTGTTGTTTTCAAACAGGTTCTCGGTATGTATCCTTGACTGGTTTGGAACTTGCTATGTAGACCAGGCTAGCCTTGAACTCATGGACATCTGCCTGCCTCTGCCTCCTGCATGCTGGGATTAAAGGTGTTGCACTACCTTTTCTTGTAAGATATGATCT